ATAGGCAATTCATGATTATTAGAATACATTATATAATTTTTTTTTAGAAAAAAAGAGGCAATTATTCAGGTAATTATTTTTTAATCAAATAAAAATTCATGATTGTTAGAATATAAATTTTCACATACTTGTGGTCCTCCAATGTGCCTATTTTACCACACAGGTTTTCGGTGAGTTTCGACTAACAATTTTTCTAATTACATTTGCAAGTACCGACATAAAAGACAGGGGTATTATATATACATTATAAATATGAGTAAGAAAATTAAATAATAATAATAATAATAATAATCTAAGTGGGACTTATCAATTAACAATACATTGTTACCAAAAGTCAATATGTGATTTTTTTCAAATCCCATAAATTTGTAATAAAAATTTGAGAATCCGTTTCGCAAAATCTCTCGAAGTTTCGTCCTGCCAAAGAATTGAAAAATGAAAGGGTAGTTGGTAGTTTTCATTGTTTGGTAATTGAGTCATACTTTGACTCTCATCCGTAAATAAACACTATCTACTTTCAATTTATCTTTGAAAATGCGTTTATTCGAATATCTGATCTACGCATATATTTGATCTCCCTGACAGTACAAATGAAAAAAGTACATATTAGCATCATTACAAAGTTGTGAATGTATACATATTTTAGATTAATTTTAATGAAATAATTAACATCTGAATCATGAAAAAGTATCTCCAAGGATTCGGGTAACATGGACTGGGACATGATAAACTCTTATCACTCTTAATTAATTCTTACCAATATATATGAAAAGAATTATTTCTTGGTTGATTTTGGAATTTTTTATTTTTATTTTCGTATTTAGATTAGAAATAATAATCATCCTAGAATTTTTATAAAAATGGTAGCTTAGATATACGCTATATATTTTTTATATCCTCTCAGCCAAAAATGGAAACATAATAATTTTTAGTTAATGCTTATCATTATATTTTTTGTATCCTTCCAACCAAAATGGAAACATATTAATTATTAATTAATGTTTACCAATATTCTTGTATTAAGATTAGAAATATTAATCAAGCTAGCCTTTTAGTAAAATGATAACATAGAATTATGGAATATACTTTTTTTATCATCCCAACCAAAAAATGAAAACGTAGTGATTATTAATTAATACTTACTAATATGTAGANCTTTATTAATGTCGGAATTTTTATTTTCTTATTTTTGTATTTAGATTAGAAAATATAATCAGCCTAGCATTTTAATAAAAATGGTAACATAGAAATACGATTTATATATTTTTTATATTCACCCAATCAAAAACATGGAAACATAAAATTTTTTAATCAATGCTTACAATTATTAATGCTTACTCACATGTTACTCGAGTACACACACACTTTCTATATACTCCCTCCGTCCCAGAAAACATGGGAGTTTTGATTTTGAAGAAGGATTTAAGGAAAGTGTATTTTAGTATTGAATTTTCAAAAATGTTCTTTGATGTGATAGGTAAACGTATGATTTGATGGATAGATTATTAGTAAAAAAGATATGATGTGATAGGTAGGGTATGAAAAAGTAAGGGGTAAAAGTGACTTTTTAATAGAAATGAGAAGTGTTTTTTGGGACGGATGAAAAAAGAAAGGAGAAAGGTTTTCTGGGACGGATGGAGTATTACTTTGACATTTTTATATTCTCCCTGCAAAAAATGGCAATATAGTACTTATTAAGTAATACTTACCAGTATTAATGCTTAGAATAAATGCAATAAAGTAACATGCAAAAAACTTTCTATTTTTTTCTCTCACGTTTAGGCAGGAAAAAATTCCTCCCTCTTTTTAAATATTGTATAGATAATGTATGATATTCATCTTTCTATATTTGTTATTATTCTTACCATTTTTATCTTATTGTTTTTATTATTATTTTAACCAAAAATAATATATTTCCACAAAAGGTAATAATTTAAAGTAATTATATAAAAAGTAATAAATTGACATTATTTATTTTTATAATTTATATTTAGTTTATTAATGTATATTACCGGAATTTTCATAAAAGATCATAAAAGTTCATTTTCACTTTAAAAGGTAATAATGTACCGTAAGTGAATTAAATGAACAAAAATTTATTACCTTTATAAAAGGTAATACATTAACGTAAAATTGAAATTAAAGCTCAAACGTAAATTTTTTAAAAGGTATAAAAAAGTTTGTCTGAATTAATTGACATTATATAAAAGCTATATAAGGTAATGATAAAAAAAAATTGTTCCATAATTAAATGCTATTTGCATGTTATTGAAATTATTACCATTATTAGCTTAAGTTTTTTATTACTATTGCAACGTAATACATGCCTAACAAAAAATAATATATTTCCATAAAATAGTTAATCATTGATCAAGAATTTATTTTCTCTTTAAAAGATAATAATGTATTGTAAATAAAATTAATAAAAAAAAGTTTATTAACTCCTAAAAAGTTCATGGATATTAAAAGGTAGTAATGTCTTACCAAAAGGTAATATGAATGAAGTATAGGTAATCATTTTAAAAGTTTTAAAACGTATTACATAATTAAATTAATATTATACAAAAGCTATATAAGGTAATCATTATAGGGAAATGTTATTTTTATTCTTATTATTTGTTGATTGCACAATTATATATGGAAACGTTGATTTATTTTCAAAGACCAATAACATCCGTTGATCAAGATGTTGATGCTAATTGACGGATCACAATGCTTGTGCAATTGGGCGGGAAAATGGCTGGGGCAATTTCCCCTGCTTTTAAGAATAGGATGATACAAATGGATTAATAATAACCGTAGATTAAATGTAATAGATTAAACCCCATAGACCATAGCATTTGGACGGGAAAAAGCATGGGGCAAAATTCCTCTGCTTTTAAGAATAGGATGATGCTACTTATGTTAATGACTTTAGCATCATTGGGCTATTTTCGGTAATTGGATTTTCTTAGAAATTAGCTATTAAATAGTACTCTCTTTGTTTCTAAAAGATTGATACAGTTTGACTTTTTTATTCAAACTGTGGTACCCATTGATCCCGATTTATAAAAAAAGTATACTTAGTTATAATATAAATTTAATAAAATTGGTTTATTTCAAAATATAGTTTTGAAATAGCAAATTTTTATAATATTTAACTATTTTGAACTATATTTAATTCATGGTCAAAGGGTATCACAGTTTAACCAAAAAATCAAGTGGTAGCAATCTTTTAGGGACGGAGGGAATAATAACTATTGAAAGGAGTTAGGAGGTGTGGAATACATGCTTTTTCACTTATATTATTATTCGAAAATAGCTAACCTTTTCAAATAGAGAATTATCTATTCAAATAGGTTAATGTGAAGTGTGAGGACCTATTGGAATAGGTCTTTACCCATTGGAATAGTTCGGAAGCTTATATGTTGACATATTGGAATAGGTGCTCGCCTATTACAATAGGTCAGGACTTATTCGAATAGCTCACTGAAGCTTATATGTTGACATATTGGAATAGGTGCTCGCCTATTACAATAGGTCAGGACTTATTTGAATAGCTCACTGAATAGATGCGTCTAATCCTTCAAGAAACGGTCTCCTATTTGAATTGGAAGTATGCTATTTGAATAGGTACTGAATAGACACATTTTTTCAGTTCAAAAGATATGTCTGATTTGTGTTTTGCCTATAAATAGTCATGCCTATGACCTATTTCGATAGAACAACCAAGAGCAAGTCTATGTGACTATAGTCTTCTTCTAGAAAGCCTTCATACTCGTTCTTTAACCTTTATGTCTTATCCGATTAAAGTATTTTAATTTTCTGAAATAGCTTTAGTCAGAAAGTGATTCTTCCACGATTCGTATAAAAGCCTATCACGTTCCTCTTTCGTTGCACAAACCTTTATCGATCCTCCAACAGCTTGTATGAAACTATTAGAAATAATAGGTATATTAGGAATAAATTATTATTATTATTATTATCATTATTTATTTCCCTTTATTCTATTCTTACTATAAATTCTTATACTACTTTGATTAGAATTGTATGTGTATTATATTTTCTATATATTGATGTAAACGTTATTAATAAATAAGATTAATTATTATCAAATAATATCATGGTAGCAGAGCAAACTAACGGTCTCTCTGACGAATAATCTAGCTCTTTTATTTTGACCGTGCACCACCATCGGCCTTACAAATAATCTAATAGTTGACATTACTTATCCCTTTCTCTCCAATTAAATTATGTGTATGAACGAAGAGCAAGAAAATTACATTTATCTGTATTATTTCTTCTAGAGTTTCAGAGTATGGAAAGTGATGAAGCAGAGAATGATTCACAAGGAGAAAAAAATAAAATTCTCGCTCTTGTCCAGATAGCCAACACTCTTCCCCCCAAAAATTCAGCAAATGTACTCTAAAGCTCCATTCCATAATTCCTTACTCTACCAATCCTCACAATATTGATAATCTAATAGAATAAAATATTCGTACACTCTCTTATTTAGTAGAATTTTTGATATAATTTTAAACGGTATAAAAATATATGGTCCTATATTGAGAAAGTCATTATGTTTTAGTCCTATTTAGGTAAATTACCCTTAATTTAATCAGAGTACATTTCATTTCTACACTAATTTGTAAATAAAATTATTTATAAAAAATGAGATTTTATACGTTGAGGGGGTGTTAAAGGAAAGAATATTTTCGTATATATTATTATTATTATTATTATTATTATTATTTATTTGATAGCTTCCTTGTATATTTCTATTTCCTTTTGTATTTCTTTCGTTTTGTATGTAGTAGTTTACTAGTTTTGTTAAATATATATATATAATATATTTAATATTATTGTATTATTATTGTTACCATGTTTGTATAGGTTTCCTATTTGTATAGGTTTTCTAGATGGTCTCTCCTACCATAATTAGGATTGAGACTTTTGTATATATACATGTACTCTCCTCACAAATTATTCAATGAACATAATCCTTCTTCATGGTATCAGAGCCTAACCAAAAACCCTAATCTCTCCTCTCACCTTTCGGCCTCCCTCCTCCTCCGCCGAATCACCGGCGCCGCCGCCCTCCCTCTCCTTCTCTCTCGGCCGGCCATCTCCTCCTTCCTATCATGGCTGAAAGTGAGATCACCTCTCAGTCTACCTCCCAAAAACCTCCTCATCTGGCTTTCTCTGTCTCCAACGTCAAATTACATGTCCCTATTCAACTGAGCTTTTCTCAACCAAACTACAAAAAGTGGAGCCGACTGTTTCTTCTTCTCACACGTCGGTTCAACCTCCACGGTTATCTTGATGGCTCTATCGGTCCCATCTCCGACGACGACGATGAATGGTTTCAACTTGACGCCATTCTCCAGGGTTGGATTCTCTCCACTATCACGGATGAAGTCTCTGATCTGGTTATCTCCTCCGTCTCTACTGCCTCTGCTCTCTGGAAGATGATTCATGATCTATTTCACGACAACAAACATGCTCGCGCCATGCAACTCGAGCACCAATTCCGCACCACGGTCAAGGGATCTACCCCCATGGCCACTTATTGTCAAGAACTCCGAAATATTGCGGATTTGTTGGACGACGTCGACGCTCCCGTCTCGGAGCACCAATTGATTCTTCAGATGCTACGCGGCCTCCCCGATGATCTCCAGGCTCAGACCTCGTTCCTCCAATTTCAGGATCCTATGCCGAGCTTTCTTCAGGTCCGATCGGCCCTTCTCCTTCTTGATCGGCAAAGGACCCCACTGGGCACCAGCAGCACGGCGGTTGGTAACCACACTCTCCCCACCACCCCTCCCCTCTCCTTAAATAATGTCTTAATTTCTCCCCACATCACTCATAATATTATCTCTGTTCGCAAACTCACTCATGATAACGACTGCACTGTTGAATTTGACGCTCATGGTTTTTCTGTGAAGGATCGTCAGACAGGGACCGTGATGCATCGATCCAATAATGTAGGTCCTCTCTACCCGGTAGCCCATCCAGCTTCTGCTCAAGCCTATGTCTCTTCTGTCGATCATCAAACCTGGCATCGTCGTCTCGGCCATCCAAGCCCTGCGGTCCTGCGTGGTGTCTCTTCTAGTTTTCCTTTATTTACAAATTATCAACAAACTCTTTGTCATGCATGTCAACTGGGAAAGCATGTGCGCCTCCCTTTTTATTCTTCAAGTCGAGTCTCTTATTTTCCTTTTCAACTTTTGCATACAGATTTATGGCAATCTCCTGTGCCAAGTGTTACTGGTTTTAAATTTTATATGATACTGTTGGATGATTTTTCTCATTACTTGTGGGTGTTTCCTTTAAGACATAAAAGTGATGCTTCTACTCACCTAAATTCTTTTGTCGCATATGT